AGAAGACCTTGACAGACTAGAACACTGGGCCGTATCTAACAAAATGAAATTCAATGTAGAGAAAAGTAAAGTCCTACACTTAGGCAAGAAAAACCAAAAGTACACATATAGACTGAGTGAAACCAGGCTCAATAGCAGTAACTGTGAGAGGGATCTTGGAGTCTTAGTGGACAACCAGCTAAATAAGAGCCAGCCGTGTTCAGCAGTAGCCAAAAAAGCCAATGCAATCCTAAGTTGCATTAACAGAGGGATACAATCAAGATCAAGGAAGGCACTAATACCCCTCTATAAAATCTTAGTAAGACCACATCTCTAATACTGCAACCAGTTTTGGTCACCCTGTTTGTTCCCCAAATTTTGTGCATTTGTATATACGCCCTCTTACAGTCTTAATGTCTGACTCTGGGTATGTCTCCTAGTTAGTATTTGAGTGGTCTTCCTTGCCATCCCTCCTTATCTCATTATTTAACTTGTTTTCTGGAGGGTTTTGCTTGGTATTAGGGCCTGGAGATCCTAAAGATTGGTCTCTCCCCCTCTTCAATTTTAGTTTAAAGCCCTCCTTGGAGAAGACCCTGATGTTGTCTTCTCAGGGTCTTCTCCAAGGAGAAGGAGACGGGAGAGGATGAGATGGTTAGATAGAGTCATCGACACAATGAATTTGGGCCAACTTTGGGATGGGGAGGGCTGGCGTGATGTGGTCCACGGCCTTGGGAAAAGTCAGGCATTGCTTAACGTCTGAACAACGACGACAACAAGCCAAAATTGGTTGGCTTGATTTCCTGTTTAAGAAAGGCTTTCAAGATGTATTTTTTTTCAATCTCAGCAACTTGAAGCGATGTAAACTTCAACTCCCAGAATCTCCTAGCCAGTGCTGGCTGGGGGAATTCTGGGAGCTGAACTGTACATATCTTATAGTTGCTGAAATGGCAAAACACCTCTGTAGCCTCCTGACATAAAATTAGCTATGAAAGCACAAGAGGCAGCTTTAATCTCCTTTTTGGATTCTTGGAACCCAAAAGAAGTAAGTTTTTTTTAAAAAAAGGATCATAAGCTTCTAACATAGCAAAATACATTTGGGCTAGCTATTTATCAGTGATAACTATACTCTGCCAATCTCCCCCAAAACATTTAGTAGAGCACAATTAATATCTAAATACAGCAAGCAAATCCATTTGATGAAAAGTAAAAGCTCAATAATAAGTACACTTCATACTTCTTATTTGTATCATATTAAAATAATAAGTACACTTGAAAGCTCTGTTGCTTTGCATGTACATTGAGAGCTTCTTCACTGGAGACAAATTCCTTTTGTGTCTAATCACACATGGTCAAATAAAACTTACTCTACTCTACCTTCCTCTACTCTACATTCCATTTTACACTCTACTGTACTCTACTCCACTCCACCCTACACTCATCTCTTCTCCACTCTCCCTTACACTCTCCATTCTACTCTACACTACACTCTATTCTACATTCTGTTTACTCCACTCCACTCTATATGCTACTCTACTCTGTACTCTACTCTCTGTTTTCCACTCCACTCCACTCTAGTAGTATAGAATGGAGTATACTACTCTATACTCCACTCCACTGCACTGTAGTCTACACTCCGTTCTACATTCCACTCTATACTACACTCATATTCTACTCTCTACTTGACTCCACTCTACAATAGAATAAAATGAACACAATAGGCGTCAGTCTTCACAATTTCACTTCTGAATTTGTTCTATCGGCAATCATCAAAAATAGAAATGTGCCTAACAGCTCCCGGCGTTGTTGGGAAGATTGCCTGACCTCTCAGGAAGTAAAGTTAAAACCAAGATAAAAGTTGTCAAACCAGCTCAAGCATTTGCTTAACTTTCCTTTCGCTGTGTAGGGATTTGTTTGCCTGTTTGTTTATTTATGCAATTTATTTGCTGCCCATCTCACGCCCAACAATTTTGGGAAGCTTACAATATGTCATGTTACTGAGGAGACGATTTGGGACGATTTTTAAAAGCAGGAAGTGATGGGGCTAACTCATTCATTCGTCAGCTGAAGAAATCCAGTTTTGTTTTGTTTTTAAAGAAAAAAAAATAAAAAAATTAAAAAGCCTCGCTTTCAGGTTTCTGAAAAGCCCTTCATGAAAAATTCAACAGGACCCAAGAGGACAGGAAGTGGTCACTATCAGCCCTGCTATATTAATTCTGGGTGGAATTTTCTATTCCTGGTCATCCAAGCAGACAAATCCAGCTCAAAACAATGGCGGATTTAGTCAAAGAAAGTATTGAGGAATGGTGTGTGTGTGTGTGTGTGTGTGTGTGTGTGTGTGTGTGTGTGAAAGAGAGGGGGGGGCCTACAAAAATAAGTGTCATTCTTTTGACGCTCCAAAAATAGAAGCAACATGAAATTACGGCAAATGGCATACAATGACGTGCCCTGACTGATTCTTAAAAGACACGTTTGTTTCATCAGAAAGAAAGAAGGAGCAGCGAGAAGAAAATAGACGGGAAAATTGTAGAAGTTCTTGGAGGTCAGCTTTTGACAGAATAACAGAGTTGGAAGGGACCTTGGAGGTCTTCTAGTCCAACCCCCTGCTCAAGCTGCAACCCTATATCATTTCAGACACATGGTTGTCCAATCTCTTCTTAAAGTTCTCCAGGGTTAGAGCACTCACAATTTCTAGAGGCGTGCCGTTCCGCTGGTTAATTGTTCTGCTGGGAAATTTCTTCTTCAGCCGGCCTAGCTCACCACTCCTGAGTTCAGAATAACAGAATTGTAAGGGACCTTGTAGGTCATCTAGTCCAACCTCCCCGCCCCCCACCCAAGCAGAAGACCCTACACCATTTCTGACAGATGGCAGTCCGGTCTCTTCTTGAGAGCCTCCAGTGATGAAGCTCCCATGACTTCTGAAGGCAACTTCTGTTCCATGGGTTGATTGTTCTCACTATCCGAAAAAATTTTCCTTATTTCCAGGTTGAATCTCTCCTTGATCAGTTTCCATCCATTCTTCATTGTCTTTTTAGCAGCTGTGCTATCCTTGCAGAGAAGGCGGCCACGTGCTGCTAAGAAACATCTGCAGAACTTCTCTTCTCTTTAGGCTTGAAACAATGCAGAGATGTCTCCAAGCAGAAATCTGGTAGACTTTGTCTGGGCCTCCTTTTCTCGCTGTCAGAAAATTTCTCCTTATTTCCAGGTTGAATCTCTCTTTGTTCAGTTTCCATCCTTTATTCCTTGTCTGGCCTTGACCCATTCCTCCTGTCTGTGGCATCTCCTCAAATATTGGAAAACTGCTATCATGTCTCCCCTGGTCCTTCCTTCCCTAGACTAGCCAGGCCCAGTTCCTGCAACCGTTCATTGTATGTTTTAGTCTCCAGTCTCCTAATTATCTTGGTTGGTCTTCTCTGCGCTCTTTCTAGAGTCTCAACCTCCCTTTTTTTATAGTGTGGTGACCAAAACTGAATGCAGTACTCTAGGTGTGGTCTTCCTAAGGCTTATCAATGGAAATTTGGGGCTCAATTTTGGTCAGAAGTCAAGGACTACCCATATACTTCATCAACATCTGGAAGGGCTATAGATTTCCAACAAGTATGTTGGAGACTAACTGAAAAATTATGGTGAGAGAAACAACTCATTTGAGAATAAGGTAGTGCCCAACTTAAAACTATTCTTCAGTGACTGTTCGACATCGCAGGAGCATTTTAAAAAGCAACTTATAACCGGTATGCTCACAATCATGATGGTACCCTCATAGCCACATGATCAAAATTCAAGATGCTTGGCAACTGGCATGTACTTATGACAGTTTCAGCATTCTAGTCACTTAATCACCCTTTGCAACATACCCAGCTGTCTTCTGATGGGGTAAGCTGGATTTCCTTGACAACTGTGTGATGCATTTAACTGCAGTGATTTGCTTAACAGTGGCAAAAAAGGGTCGTAAAATTGGGCATGTCTCACTTAACAACTGCTTTGCTTAAGAACAGAAATTCTGGACCCCAATACCGGTTGTAAGTCAAGGACTACCTGTACTGAATCTGCAGGTCAGTATTTTCTCTCCCGCAATGCCCCTTTCCACATTTATTATGCCCCTTGAACAGGGTGTCTTAACTTCCAATAACTATAATGTCATCAACACTCATGCATGCTTCTGGGACTTCCAGTTTGCAGGGCTTCGGCGGCAGACAGGAATCCGCGATCGTGTGTGGTTTCTGCCTGGGCTCGCTACTGGAGCGCCCCGAGCCAGCTGACTTTGGGGCTAAGCCACCCCATAGAGGTCATAAAATGAGGCACAATTCACAATTCACTTCACAGCAGTCTCACTAGCAATTTGGGATAAATTGGGGTCATACACAGAGGACTACCTTTATGTATATACCTATATTTCATAGTTTCTCCTTTAGCTACTTATCCCTTTTTAAGAATCTTGTTCAAATCACAAGTTTATTTTTCTGCTAGCTACTGCATATAGTTTTCCCAAGGTGCAGAGGCATTTTTGACAGCATCGTGCAATAATCTTGCAAAATTCTTATTCTTCCTTCATTTCTCTGTCATAGACAGAGGGAATGCGAGAAAGAGGTAATGAGTTTGCAATCTACTGTCAAATTTATGAGACCGTTTTTTTAAAAATGACCTTCTTAGGTTCACCCCATTTCAGGAGCACATCTTCAAAAATCATCTCTGAATTGCCAAGCTGCATTTCAGAATAACAGAGTTGGAAGGGTCCTTGGAGGTCTTCTAGTCCAACCCCATGCTCAGGCAGGAAACCTCATAACATTCCAGACAAACGGTTGTCCAATCTCTTCTTAAAAACCTCCAGTGTTGGAGCATTCACAACATCTGGAGGCAAACCTGGTTAATTGTTCTAATTGTCAAGAAATTTCTCCTTGGTTCTCGGTTGCTTCGCTCCTTCATTAGTTTCCATCCGTGGCTTCTTGTCCTGCCTTGAGGTGCTTTGAAGAATAGCCCGATTCCTTCTTCTTTGTCCCTCACTTCTTCAGTATGTGGATATGTGGATTCAACTCCCAGAATTCCCCAGCCAGCCATGAAGTCCATACATCTTTAGCTTGCTGAGGTTGAGAAAGTAATAGATAAGGTGCGGGGGGAGGACCCACCAATGTTTTTAGGGTTCAGGGAGATGGATTGGCTCTTCCACAGCTGGCAAAGTGGGGGCTGATCTGAAAATGTTGGGGAGACGGGGGGGAGGGACTTCATTCATCTTCTTCCATAACTTCGAGCACAAGAGTCCGAGGTCCTGTCACAATGAGGTTGCTCACCGTCTGATAATCCAAGTGTAAAACATACATTCCATTCACTGAGTAGACAAATTGGCAGACCTGAAAAAAGAAGAAAAACAGAGACCAGTAAAACACCCCTGAACTAAACAACACTCTTATCATCCCTCTCTTCTCTCTCTTTCACGCGCTCTCTTTTGCTCTCTTTCTCTGTAACAGATAATGAGAGTTGGAAGGGACCTTGTAGGTCATCTAGTCCAACCCCCCCCTGCCCAAGTGGGAGACCCTACACCATTTCTGACAAATGGCAATCCGATCCAACTGAACCGGTAGTTACACCGGTAAGATCCCACTCCGATGGAAGATCCTTTGCCTGGGAAAGGAATCAGAGATGAAGTTTCAATAGATCTTAATTCATGAGGCTCAAATCTAGTACCTTCATGCCAGCAGCAGCAGCTGGTCCTCCTGGATCTACAGCTTGGATGTGGCATGGCTGACCTCCACGGACTACAAAACCCCAGCCAACTGCATCACCTACAATCTGCAAATAAGAAGGTAAACAAGGAGGAGGAGAGCACAGAAGGAAGGAGAAAGGACAAAGGGGAGGAGGAGGAGGAGAATGAGAAAGAGGAAGAGAAGAAGAAGAAGAAGAAGAAGAAGAAGAAGAAGAAGAAGAAGAAG